GAGTAATGCTCTGCAGACACACACGGGCCGTTTAGTTCTGTTCAAACACATGATTACACCTCTCTGCAGGCGTTACTGCGCTGATCACTCTCAAGTCATGCTCCTTCTTGCTTTTTGTCATCTATTTTAACAGATGCCATCTATTCTGATTGTATACCCAGAGACGTCATGGGACTCAGTCTCCGAGAGTGTGCTGGACTCCATACATGTCACTGAATGTACATACACACAGGAAGTGTTTTAGTGTGAATGGTCCATGGTATGGTCCAGATTCTAAAAAAAAGTCTTGAAAACATAAATTAACCTGCTTAGGCTTTTGGATATAATCAGCCTACAAACACAGTAGGTCTTGGCTAACTAAAGAAAAGACAAAATATTTTCCCAGCTGAAGAAGAAATGTCAGCTAAATAAGGGAAGTCAAGGTATCCACCCAGGTATCCACCCAGGTATCCACCTGCCAGAGACAGTGCATGTAAGTTGAAAGGGAGATCTAAGATCATGTAATCAGAAGAGGGCGAAGACTTCACTCAGCAATGCAACATAACTGAGAGCTGCAGGTCTGCACCTGTACACGAATCTGGTCATCAGTCCCCTCAGAGCTGTCCAGCAGGAAAAGGATTGCATTCCAGATAGGAATAGCTAAGTAAACACTGCTAAGATACTGCTTGAGATTTGCATTTTGTATTTTATTTCCTTCTATAAAGAAAGACAGCTTTTCTAATAGGAAGAATGTTTGTGGCATCAGGACCTGAAGGTTACAACCTAAACTTTCTAACCCGCCAAATGTTAGCTTCTAGAAGTTGCTTGACTCAAGTGCAGGGAGTATTCTTTAGCTATTTTTTGTAACACTGAAAAGGTACAGAAACCAGAACTAAAATAATTTCTGAATTAGCTTGCCACTCTATAGTATCTTGTCTTTTACTCAGTCTTAAGTAAAAGTTACCTTCAGTAAAATTACTTTTGTGTCATCCAACCATTAGTTTGATTCTGAGATCAGGCTTTTTTTTTTTTTTTAAATTGCTTTGAAATAAATCAAATTAGTTCACAAAATACTGATCCTGTATATTCTCACACTTAAAATTTTCTTTAAATCAAATAACAGGAAAGAAATATCACAGCAGTGATATACATTGTTAAAAAGAGTATAAACTTTTAAAAAATAAATTGCAACTCTGCTTTAAGCCCAAATGGAAACCAGAGAAAAAGTCTCTTCTATTTTTATTCATGCTTTCTGAATTCCCATGGTCTTAACACTGGCATTTGTTCTGCTCTTTCTTTTCCCATAACAATAGCGATCCACAGAGCACCACCTAAGATCTTTCCTTGTAATGGATATAAGAACACACTTGGATTCTCTTGCTATGATATCTGAAAAGACCAGTTCCTAGTGCTTACATCAAAGAGCTGAGATCTTTGTCTGAGGAGAAAAGAGCATTTCTTATTCAGGTTTTTGTCATATTTCAGATGTATTCAGTTCTGTCTCTGGAAAAATTCCAACACAGAATATACGCTAGCCATAGTTGAATGAAATCCAAATATCATTGTTAGGTAATATATTATTATTATCATCATCATCATCATTATTATTATTACTACTACTACTACTTCTACAACAACTACTTCTTTTATCATCATTATTATTATTATTACTACTACTACTACTTCTATGACTACTTCTTTTACTCCCACCTATAACAATGACTCAGCTTACCCTTTACCTGCAAAAACCCAAACAACCATTCCTACCTGAATACACTAAAAGAATTACAGACCAGCATAAAGATACTTTGTTGTACGTATTTTGAGTGTCAGTCTCTTAATACTATGTCAAATAAAAACAAATAACATAAAATTAACTTTAAAAGACAGTAAAAACGGACCTCTTTAAGGCATTTATTGTACGCCTGATTCACAGTTCTGAAAGCAGTTATGAAGATCTATATTCAAAAATACTTCTGGCATAGAAGTAGTTATAAAATATGGAAGAAGAAAACCACTGAAATACAATTATGCTTTACAAAACACTCGAAAAAAATTTCAGACATACTGATAGACATTTCTTTACTGACTTCTGTATGAGCACACAGTTTATAAAAGCCTAGTTGCTATAAATATGATCACAACTTTCTATAGAAGCAGTATTGTTATCCCATGATATCGGTATACTTTTTCAAGCCTGATATGTAAGGGGATACTTAGCTGGTCAATTGATTGACATAATTTCTTCAGAAACTACATAAGCATCCTTTATACTTTGACCAGTTTCCATGTGGTACCAGTGTTTTGCCACCTGAGTATTCCCTGCCTCTCAGTTCCAGAAAATTGTACTCATGGGACATCTACAGCACATATAGTGTTTTGATCCTAACTCTTGTATCAGTGCTTGTACCAATACACAATTCCTTGTGCAGGCACTTACAATTTGAAAACAGGAATATGATGAGATATACCAGGGAAATTTTTAAATTAATTAAATATATTAACAGCAAGTTTTAAACCTCTGGCGTTCATGTATAACACTGGTGCCCAGTATTTTCTTTAAGATGCGCTGATGGATGCTTAAGACATGCAAAACACTTCTTCATGATGTGACCTCACCCTCATCCACCCACTAGGCCATCACCTTGTACCACTGGAAATACAACACCGTACACATACTTTATCCAGGGGCTGACGTGGCCACAGGCTTGCTCACCGTATGACCAGCGTGCTTGCACGATCCAACTATTTAAATGAGGCACGTGTCTACCTGTCCTGTTAGGTGCAGCCACGTGTGGCCACCAGACAAGGCTCCTCAGAGGTGCTGCCAAATAGGGCAGCAGGAGCTCTACAAAACAACCCATATCAAACCAATACACGAAGGACCTTTTCAGAAGAAGGCAGCAGGAGGTGCGCTGGCCACTCTCGTCGGGGCCAGGCACAGGCCAGCGCTGAGCACAGACCTTTCCCGGGGAGCAGCCGAGGCAGAAGCACTACTGGCCAGAGCCGTGCAGGCTGTCATGGTTTCTGCCTCTCCCCTAACACTGAAATACAGCTCTTTATTCAAGAGTTTTTCAGAACATCCCGTTCACAGTCAATGAGCCGAACGACCTTGAGTACTTTTGAAAAGAGTTGCATTTCACATTTGTCCCTGACTTTAGCAACTAATCAGTTGTTGGGCAACTGATTAGATATAACAAAGAGAAAAACTTCAGATTAAAAGTCCCAAATAACTAAGGCAGCGTGGTTTTTACATCAAATCGAGGTGAGCCACACAATATAGATTCTCTCTAGTGCTGAGACACAATTGAACAGCATACAAAGAGCTGACATTTCTCATTTAGTATTTCTTACAGTAAGAGAGACCAGATTAGATCAGAACTAGTAATGTAGTGCATTATGTTTGACTTGCTATTTGAATACACCAATATGGTTTCATACCTATGTCCTATCACATGAGTAAAATTTAGATTTCTAGGCAAGCAAGTGGCTAAGTCTTTTTCCTGCCCAACCAGACAGTTCCCAGATCCGTACAAAGATGACTTCATCTTTTGCCTTGCATTCATTTGAACTCAGAGAAAATAGAAATGCATATGAAACTGCCATTTCCATAACCCATGTGAGTTGGTAAAACATGAGACTGCTGCTAAGACTTGCCTGCTCATGGAGTCGTCAGTGTCTGCATGATATTCAGAGCTTTCACTATATACATTCTTTCCCCTCTTCTTCTTCATTCCCTCCTGTCTCACATCACATTCAGTAAGATGCACACTCAAGCTCTCTTTCTGTACTCCTTCTGCACTGTTACTCCTCTTGCTTACCCTTCCTTTCCCCTGTTTTTTTTCACTTCTACTATTTCGAGGTACTTAGCGTCCCTCTCCTACAAAAATTTACTTAGAAAATTTACCACAATTTCTGACATTGCAAATGGTCATTTTGGTCCATTTACTTGCACATTAAAACTCTTATAACTTTGGTTTCATGATACTAAACACAAACTTTCCTGAGAACTAAAAAACCTCATCATTATTTGAATGGTGGTTAGCATGATGGAGACCTTCAGATGGGACCACATACAGCCGAACATTATAAATTTATGTTGAATCATATGACAAGGTTAAAACAGTTTTGCTTAAATACTGAACATACAATATATCTTACATATACACCTTGAAATATAAATATATATGTAGTGCATAAGTATATAAATTGCTTAAACACTTTTAAAGTACATGTATCACTTAAATACAAGTAATCTTTTTCTATGTAAAACACACTTGTCAGATACAGATTCCTTAATTGACAATGAGAGCTTTTCAGAGTGCATTATATGGATTTTCCCTGAAGCAGTAAAAATAGAAAAAAATACATAATATTTTAAATGCTATAGGCATCAAAGCAGAAAAACTCTCTGATTTTCCTAGGTAGAATATTTTGGTATCAAGTTTGAACCAAGATAAACAGAAATTAGGAAAAATTATACTGATGGTGAATATGCTGCTAGTCTGAAAAGAAATTAATTAAAAAGCAATAAACCAACTGTACTAAAGTAATAAAATATAACATCATTTAGTTCAGGAAAATTGTTTCGTTTCAAAATAAGGTTACATGTTCAAATGTGAAAAAAAAAATTGAAATATGCAAACACTATTTGTGACAAAAGCAAAGGATTTTTGCAACATTTCAGCAATCCTTCACAAACTCGCAGTAAGGATTCTCCCCAAACAGAAGTACAGCAGCTCATGTTGGTGCCTGAGAAGCAAAGAATTAGTGCATTAAGCAGGTTCCAGCAAGCAGAAGATAAAAGCCTCAGTCCAACCTGAAAAGGATCTTTGCTAAAAAAAAAATAGTTTAGTAAACGTCCACAGAAAAAAAAAAGAGGTTTGACAATTGTCTTCATTCTGTAGAATGTTGTTGATTAAGCAACTTCAACAGAACATCCAAGTGATTAAACTGTAATACATACACACTATGTACATTTAAATGATAATTTGAGAGGGGAAAAAAAATCCAGTTCCTACCAGTTTGGCTGAGTTGTGACGTGCTACGGCTTTTTCGTGAGAGACCCACGATGGCAACCATCTTCGCACCGATGCTGGAGCGTCTCTTTTTGCTGCCTCCGCCGACAGTGCCCACCGCAGTGTCTGACTGGCTGCCGTCATTCTTCTCCAGCGTGTACATGTCCCCACCAATGCTGGTACTCTTAGTCATGTTCTTTCCTGAGGTGCCCATCTGTCTGCTTTGCATTTTGGATGTAAAGACACTGTCAGCCAGTGGATGGATAAACAGCGCAGACAAAGAAGAGTAAAAAGGGGAAGACAGAAAAGGATAGGTTTCAGATGGAAGGTTTTGGGAGACTGGAGGGTAAAAGCAGCTAATTCACACAGGTAGGGTTTGGTTTTTGAGAGGTAAAAAGGAGCAACTTTAATTCTACGTTGCTGTTTGGTCTCCTGTAAACATACTTGACTCATCAAAATTTTGTTTTAAATAACAAGTTCTTATGTACTGATTGTCTTAAAACACATTACCAGCAAAAGCACATCGAAGAATTAATGCCGGAGTATATCATAGATAAATTTTTTGCTTGGGAAATTTAAGGTCTGCAATGAGTGATCTGTCCCTCTTCTCCTCACATATATCCATATAAATAATCTATAGTCCTCTGGGAAACAGATACTTGATTCAATACGGAGTGGAAAGGTTATCAGTCTGAAGTCCAGCTTTCGTTTCTAAACATTCAGACATTTCAAGGATGTTTTCAGTAATCTGGTTTAGCTCAGTCATCCTACGATTTTTGATGACATTACACAGTAATGAACAGTCATAGATTTTTTGCTCCCTCTCTTCAGCAACAAACACATGTATTATATATGTACTTCATACAACACTTTGTTGCTATGTCACATGGATAATTTCTGACAAATGAAAATTAATTTTAATGTACCTTTTGTTCTTATTTATAGACTGTTTCTACACGTTTTATGCAGCTACATCGAAGTTACCTGCTGCAGCATTTCACAACATGCCCCAGGGGGACCTGATCTCCCAGCGGTCCAGGCTAAGGGACCTTTTCTTTGCACAGAAATGACAATCTACAGTGATGACAGCAGTACCTATCCAAATTTTGCCCTGACATCTAACTGGTAGGTGTCTGGATAAACATTCAGACCTGGAAACTCTGGGACACATATGGGCCTGAAAATTATATAGATAATGTTTCTATATCAGTGAAGTTCTTGCACAGAACTTAAACCTTGATTATTCTGTTCAGTACAGTGCATCTCACTGAAAAGTCCCCACTAGATACAGCCTTACAAAATCCACAAAACAGTGGAATTTTTCTGGAAACCAGAGGAAATAATTAATTTTTGTGTTAAATCACCAGTATGTAAAGGCTAAGAGAGAATATTTCTACTTTTTAAATAGATGCAAAAACATTTAAAAACATGCAAAGGCTGTTCCTAGAGCTTTTCCGCTCAGTAAATGGCTCTAGAGTAAATTTTAATGGGTATAACCATACTTCTTTCCCCTTATCTATAATGGCCTGAATCTATTTCAAAAAAGGAAGGTTTTATGGCTTCTTTATGAAGTTTTTATAGTACATGTTCTGTCACACAAAACTTATCTTTGGATTTAATGCAGTGCCCTCAAAAGCAAATGGATCACTGGGTGTCTTCCCACTGACTCAAGGACAAATGAGATGAAGCATCAGATTTGGAACAACGATGCAACAACTGAAGATATTTGAGAGGTACCCATAAAGTGCTTTGCTCTTAAGTTGATGGCTGCATGTGCATGAAGGCATAAAATGCTTGGAGTTAAGCCACAACACAGAGGAAAACATAAAGAGGTAGCTTATAGAAGAAGTGGGCCTCAGCCATCAAGTCAAAAAAGTGTTGGGTGTGCTTCTGAAGGAAGTTACGAGGGAAAATATTAATGAGAGTTTGGATCATGAGATGGAGAGGCACAAAACAAAGCTGAGAGAGAGACTTGGTGGCCTTGCCTGAACAGACAATAACAAAAGACTGCAACACAGTGGTAACTTGAAAGTTTTTTTCTTATCCTTTTTTAACTCTCTCTCTTGTTATACGTTAGTACGCACTAGCTCACGTTGGTACATTTAACACTAAGGAAGGAGTGGGGTAGGCAATGAGTAAAGAGGAAGGCAGGGAAAGAAAAAAGAGTGGATCTCTGTTTCTGGGGCTTTTTAGCGCTGTAACACTTTTAGGAATTGAATCAGAGAAACAAGATGCCACAGAAACTACACTACCTTGTATACAAGAAATATTAGAGGGATGTAGAAGAACAATGTTGGGAAGAGCTAGTATCTTCAACTTTATCTAATGGAAAATTCTTCTAAGGATTAGAAAATTAGAGCCCCTTATCCAGTAATGCTATTTCTAACCCAATTTCCCTAAGGAAATGTGATTAACGTGACACTGTTTTCAGTCAGGTCTCTCTCAGTATTTTTTAAAATCAGTTCAAATTTGACACAGGAGCAGGAAACTAGAGCTATTTAGTTTCTAAAACTGTTTTGAAAACAGATCCCTGGAGAGAGATCTTATGAATGCCCCTTTTGGGGGAAGTATAAGTCATTACCGAATCTGTTATTTCACATGGGAACACATTTGCACAGCACAGGCTGATAGGGGAAGTATCATGTTTACTGCTTGCAGAACAACCTATTCCAATGGTCCACTTTTTAAGAACGATATCCAGAAAATCTGTGGACTCCTGTCATATTTACTAATAGGAAATAATAATTATGGCATTGCTTTATAAGTGACATTAACATTTAGGAATGATCTTATGTCATAGCAGTGAAAACAGAAATATTTTGTTTTCTCATAAAACTTACACTGGGGAGAAAGTTCCCATTTCCTGAGTCTAATATGCCTTTGAGGTACTTCATGGGTCATTGCCCCAAATGTATAATTCTATTTAAGTGCAATGCACTACAATAATTATCCTTATTAAAGAAATCAATGTGCTTAAAAAGGTTGGCATGCAAACAAAGTTGCTGTAATTTCACTATGCAGTTAACTATGATAGTACTATGCATCACAAAAATTTGCTCCTTGGCTTCTCTTTAAAGGCTCCTGTGTCAAAAAATGAAGCTTGGCTGTGTACACCTGCCAACAAGGAGGTAGACTTCATTCAGTCACATCATTTTGACCAACTGAGAAAAGTAGGAAAGAGAATTCAAGTATGGAAAAAGTGATTTAGATTTGGATTTGTGTGGTTATAACAAATACTAGTACAAATGGCTAATATTGAATGTTCATTCACAAAATTCTTTTTTTTTTTTTTTTTTCCAATAGAGTTCTAAAAATAGTTGCTTTAATTAAAGTTTGGGATTTTTACACCCTTTCTAAAAGCAGTAGAGAACACATCTTTGTTATGTTCTCAACTAGCAAACAGTTCCTGGAGAAAGCCATCACACAGCAGTGGCTTTTTTTCCACTCCTCAAATCCTCTCTCAACAAAAAAAGGTTTGAGAAATAAGTTCTAGGAGAGTTCTGAGCGGCTTAGAGTACCTTGAATTAAATCTGCAGTGATCACAAGTACCTCCTTCATCAGCACTCTCAACCCTTTCTGGCCATCCAAACCCTCACTCACTAATTATTCTTGGTAGATGCTTGGTATTCTCCGCAGCGAAGCTATCTTTCTACCCGGACTACCTTTTGACAGTGCCAACAATGGATTATTCCCCCCAAAATAGGGAGGCATATGTCAGGTTTGGTTCCTTTCTGAAGTAACAGAAATACAAGATGGTCTTCAGAGTACAAAAGAGTAAATCCTACAATCTTTTCTCTTAACAGGAAACAGAAATTACTTGAAGTTTTCTTTACCTGTGCATATATACAAACATAATTACGCATGCATCCAGTTAAATGCATACAATATTTTAAAACTGACATTAGATAAAAGTAGTTTATGAAATAATATGAGTCAAGGAATGGAAAATGCACTAAAAACAGGGTTCTCAAGAGGCCTTGTAAGATATTAATCTTAAAAATATCCTCTGCAAAGAGAATATGCAGACAGGTAGAGGAAAACAACCCAACACAAATTAAATAAAAGAATTAACTATGCTAGTCCCAATCACATGTGAACGATGGCATAATAATCACCCTTATTAGAATCAAAACAAGAGCAAAACCATCACACAATCTCAGTTGTGTGGTAGCCTGCAGCCAACAGCAATAGCAGGGTGAAGGTGACAGCCAGGCCACTGACTATGGCTTATGGGGACAAAATAGTCAACAAGAGCAGGGTGATCGGCAAAGCTCACATGGAAACGTTGCTTCCTGCATTACCCCTAAATCCAGGAAACCACCTGAGGACATGGTGAAATGCAAAGTTAAATGACTAATAAGAGGTAAGTGTAAATAAAACCCTGAAATCTGAACATCAATTTAAATAGCCTACTTAAAGCAAACTCAAAAGCTACTTTTCTCTGTACAAATCTGAGATCATTCTCAAATTAATATTCTACAGGCCAAATCTAGTCTGTAAGCTTTTTCTGTATGCTTTTAAAGAAAAACAGTAAGCAAGTACAAAATTGCTATTCATACATAGCCTTCTGGAAAATGTAATGTTAAGTTTCTGGATTTCTTAAAGGCATTAATCTTCAAGATCTCTTTGCAGAGACCCACTTGTTTTCCAAACAGGGAGTGCAATTATTCTCTGGGACCGAATTTGCTGTTAAGGTTTTCCAGACTCTTACTATAGCAGATAAACAGAAACTACCTTATTTTTCACCTCAGTTTATCAATATCTGTGCTGAATTACAGAAATATTAGAAAACACTGGCATATAAATTCTCCCAAAATACAATGCTTAGGACTGGCTACTTGGAAAAAGATCCCTTCTGGAGTTGGTGCATAGCCAGAGGGGAATACCCTAAAGTGCATAAGGAAATCCTCACAGAAGGGAGGCAGAGAAGTCGGTGTTGCAAGATCTTTGCTTCAATCTTGGTATCTCCTGCTTTAGACAGTCCATTTCCTTGATATCTGACTAAGAAGGAAAGTAGCTGTTTATGAGGCTTGGGTTAATTGGGACTTGGGAAGACTTTACAGTGCAAAAAGATCCTGCCCTAAAGGCAGAGAAACTCTTTTGAAACCACTTTATATACAACACTATAGCTGGTAACTCTTGCACCAGGTAAGATGGACGGCTGTATAGGCAAACGCTCCAGATCCTAAGTTAACAGATTCCACATAAAAACTTGGTTTAATCAACATTTTTGGATGTTGAGAAG